CCCCAAAACCCCAAAACCCCAAAACCCCAAAACCCCGAACGGGTAACTTTAAGTTGATAATAATAAAAATGGATGAAAGGAAAGAAGTAGGAAGGAATAGGGGAAGGAAAAGGAGGTGAGGAAGAGAGAGGGGGTGGGCTAGGCTGAGATTTGAGAAATTGGGGGGGGGGGTTGGATAGTGGATGGATTGGTGATGTGAAGAGTTAGATTTCAAATGAATCTTTTTGGAGATAATGGGGGATTTTTGAGGTAATTGGGAATGTTCTTTGATTTTTGGTGGTTTAGTGGAAGAAATAAGTTCTGAGTTCTAATTGATGTTCCTAAATTTCTGGGAATTTAAGTTGAGAATTTAATAGATAAATTATCTGATGTTCTTATGGATTAGTCTAGAGAAGTTTATCCATGTTAAAGAAAAAAACGAGAATTTTAAGAGATGCCAAAGCATATTTCAGAAAGTTTATCTTGCAAAATTGAAGGCTACACCAATAGCTTCAGGTTTAAAAGTATATCTTTGTCTTCCATACTTTAACTGAAGCCTCAAAAATATTAAAGATATAAATTTTCAAAAGAAGTTGAAGTCACATAAACTTAATGATATCGAGTCTATGATCCTTAAAGATATCAATTATGAAAGTAAACATTTTTCTCGCTTTCTGGACACTTCTTTTCCGAATAAGGTCGATCGCATTTGGATCCCCTCCAAAGACTATAGTAAATCGAGATCTTCACGCAATTTCAACAGAATCATCAAGATTAGTTCAAGAGTTCTCAAAAGTGCAGGTTTCAGAGGATTTATATTCAATTTCCGACAATTTAAAAGATTGATAACATCTTACAAGCTTGTGCGATCATTGGTATTACAGAAATGTGACTTATCAATCCCAGAAATTCCAGATTTTTCTTCGTCTCTCAAGAATGCTAAAATTGAAATGATAAGTCTCATTGCCTCTCATTTTGGAGCAGCTAGTTATGGAAGTAACGACCATGATCAAATCATAAACCTAGTAGAAGGAGTGGCCTCTTCTCCAGACTTGTGAAGAGCCTTGGAAGAGATAGACTTGCGTGATTGCAGTATTCCTGAAGGATGTGCTCAGCAAGCTCGTCAAATCCTTAGTTTCACATTCATAAATGTTCTGGTTTAGAAGAAAATTTCTTTCTGGGGTTGGAAAATCAGCTTTTATTTCAAAAGTGTTCAATTTTAGAGATATTTTGGGGTTTTGGGGTTTTGGGGTTTTGGGGTTTTGGGG